CGCAGGGCGAGTTTGGGGGGCGCCGGCGCTCTGCCAGGCAGCGGGAAGGGGCCGGGAGGAAGGGGCGCCTTTCTTCGGGGTTAAGGTCACCAGGTCTGGCCGGCTCCAGCCGCAGTCATCCCCGGCCGCTCTACGGAGAACTTAAATTTATAGGCACGGGATTTATTTGTCCCTCCCCCTTGCTGCGAGAAGGCAGACGGTACTGCTGGAGGGTATTTACGTATCCTGATAACGAAATGTCCATGTTTAAAATAGCGGCATCTGTATTTTCCTTTCCTAAATGTGGCATGCGTGTAACGTATACGTACGTGGGCAAGGTTGGATGGGGAATCGGTCTGTCTGTCGCCTAGCGCGTTAAGTGCTGGAGCCATTAACAGCAGTTGCATCAATGTATGAATACAGATATGCCTGGCTAGGCCGCAGATGTACTCACTACGGTGGTAGTGGTAAACATCTAAACTGCATGTGGAAGATAATAAAAATCATTATGATATACTTCTGGCATTAATTAAAGGAAATACGGAAATATGTTGTTCCTAAGCCTACAGATGAGGTCTGGAGCTGCATCCTTGTACTTCTGTTTTCACGCTAGAGCAAAGCAGCGGAAGGACAAAGATTGGTATGAGATTTCTAACCTTGAGGGTGTGAGCCAGAGCAGTTAAGAACAGCTGCTAGTGTCAACAGGGATGGATTTGCAAATATTAATGTATTAGGCTGATTTTGGGGGGGGGGGGAACAAAGCCAAGACCCCATTCTGTTTCTAGCACAGCCTTTTGGGAATCTTCTGCAGGACTTACAATTCAGCTGAAAAGGACTGTAGGAAGTGGGTGGTGAAATAGCTTGTAATAGCTTTTTTAGTTAAATTGTGTGTGTGCAAAACCAGCTGAATTTCAGATTAATTATTCAGAGCAAGTAAGATATATTGACAGCAAGAGTGAGAACCCTAAAATAAAATATACTCTGTTTATTTTAAAATTCTGTTAGCCATAAAATTAACAATTAGTTTCTGTACTGTGGTTCCAGAAAAAGGAGTAGAATTTTTGTACCTTCTGCATAGTCAATGCCATGCCTCTGTTGAACATACACACGCGCTATGCTTGTGTGTATGTTAGTTCATTTTAGCTGTTGTGTCTGAGAAAACAAAAGGTTAGAGCTCATTTTGCTACTGTTGTTTCATTTTAGGATTTTATGTTTCATCTTAGTGATATGAATTCATGGTACAAATATATCTAACATTTTTATTCTGAGCTAATTTGTGCTGAATACTTTCTTCGTGATAATTCCTTAGTTTTACACTGTGACGTGTATTTAGCAAACTTCCTTAACTTGTTATACCAGAGGTATGCTTATTAACTTGTTTGACTTGTAAAAAAGTGATATATAAGAAAGTTTGACTATATTAGTACATGTATTAATTTATCAAAAGTTATTCTGGGAGCAGTGCATCAAGATATCATGATTTTAAAAATCTGTGAAAATGGAACCAGTTAACTGTCTCTGGCAAAAACTTTGTTCTTCTGTAATGTACTTCTGATCTACTGTTATGCTCTTCAAATTCATCGTCTTTTAAAATTTGTTATTTTGGAAACAGTAGGGATTAGCGCAAGAAGAGCAAACTGAAAAAGTGGAATATGTTGTTATTAGTTAGGTCTGGTATAGTCATGTACTACTGCATGTTGCAGCTTCTGTTACCTCTGACATCGCAAATTCCAGGGAGGTTTTTCAGTGTGAGTGATGAAATTAAGAAAGATTTTGTGTGTGGTAGAAGAAAGATAGGAGTGAAGTGTTCTCTGTTAGAAACTGATTTATATATACTCAGCTTCAGACAGTTCTATATATGGGTGTACATAATGTTAAACATTCACTTAGCATGTGAAATTGCGCTAAATGGTATATTAATGTACTGCTGACTGTATTTTCTGTTTTAGCTAAGACTTGTTTATCTAGTGGGAATTAATTTATATCTCACAAAAGGAAATTTACAGTTTCTGTATACTTCTGTGTTTTGCGTCGTTGTTTCTTTCTCTTGCTCTGTTAAACCACTACACAAAGCCTTTGTATTTGGCTAGAGGGGAGGAGAAACAGCTGCCTTTTCAATGTAAGGCACCAGCATTCTTAGTGGTCTCAGAGGGATGCGTCAGATATGGACCAGCCGCTGTCCTTCATCCCTCTTCCTGACTCTTAAAAGTGCTCTCTCCTCACAACAGAGAAACCTGAGCTTCTTTTGATTGATCCTACAGATCAATGTGCTGCACGATGAATCTAGACAATCAGACTGACAGGCTAGCTTTTAAATATAGTTATGCAAGAATTAAAATGTGCAAAATTGACTAAAGTATAAATTGTACCTTAACAAATCCAAGAGCTACAGATTATGCTTTGATGAAAAATTACGTATCACCTTGGTTTCTTGTTGGTGATTGGGATGAAAGAAACTTGTTCAGATGCTTATTCTTTTATATGAATATATATTTTAATCTGACAGGTTAGTATCTAAGCTACTTAAATGGAAATTAAATCTTTTAATGTAGTCGTCTTAAAGTTAGTATGCTTTGTTTCAGTCACTTAAGAGAGTAGAAATAAATGGGACAGTTTCATTTTCTGCTTTCGATACACCAGTAGAATGCTTTAACGATTGTACTGTATTCCATATCAGACAGTGTTTGAATAAAAGTTGACTTCCCTGCCTTTCTTGGAAACATTGAATACCATGTAAAGTGACTTTCAGTAATAAATTTAGACCTGAAGCTAGCGCCACATCTTGTATGTTCCTTCAAAATTACTACTTTGAAAACATCCCACCATTTCACTTCTGCATAGTGCCCCTTGGCAACTTTCTCTATTATATTTACTAAAATTTTGGGGTTAGAGTCAGATATTTTCATTTTTTCCATCAGTGCTAGATGTAAAGTGGTGTACTCTTGTGGGAATCTGATAGCACAGGTTTTTTAAGCTGATTATGAAATTGAGGTGCATTTCCTAACAGTTTAAATGTATAGTCTGCTTCTTCTGTGTTAGCTTGTACATCACTTATCTACTACTAGGCTTCAAAATAATTCAAACAAAAAAAATACAACCTTTTGACCAATCTCATCTTGATTTAGCTGAATATCTTTTACCTATTTTTGAGAAGTTCTGCAAGTCATAGCTTTCAATAAATTATTCTTCAAGCTAGATTTTCAATTAATCTTTCAATTAAAAGAAGAATCTTTGAAAATCCTGAAGAATATTTTTGGAAGAAGAAAAGGCCTGAGTTTGACAGGAAGGAGAAAAAGGAGGGCAGGCTGTGAAGCTAAAGACTTTCATCTTCAGCATTTTCCACAAAACTGTATGTTAAGAATTCAGACTTGTTCATTATTATATTCAGAGATGGGATTTTCTGTGGTTCTTGCATGGCACTGTTGAGAACAGTCCTGTGATGAAAAGCATCACTCAAATGCTATTTCGTGTTGTTGCTTTGTCTCTGAAGAAATCTTAAATTCTTGAAAATTAGTTCATTTGCATGATGAGGAACTCCATCAGGTTATTCTTCCCTTCAGAGAAGTGTGTGTGGGTGTATTTGTTGCTTAGCCTTGCATTTGGATTGGATGCAGGAGAAGTTCAGAGTGGTTGAAAGAACGAACTGAAGGATGGCTGACCTCTCAGGGATGATGTTAACCAGCTCGTTGATGGCATTGATGATGGAAGTTGTTTCTTCCAATACAATGCTGTCTGATGTGTAATGAAAGAGTAAGATATGCTGAACTTATTTTGAGATCTCATAAAACATATTAAGCCATTTCTTATTTCTAGACATTGCAAAGGGATTCATTAGCTGGTGCAGGGACAAGTTGGTGTCAGGAGCTACACTGGAGAAAAACTGGAACAAGGTTAGTGTCCTCCTTATCTGTTTAAGCGGAACTCATCCTACTACATTTTTGATGCACTTCTTTCAGAAATGAACTCATACAAAAATTATGTCATGTGCTAAGCTACTTCTGTCAATGGTCTTGTCCAGAGTAAGAGAGGATTTTGACTTGCAGATTTGGTGTGTTCTCAATACTTGGGAATTGCCTCTAGTCAGCAATTGTTTATTGAATCAGAAAGTGGACGTTCTTTCTGCTATCACTTCCTAAATAATTTTCAGATAATGTTTGTTGCTTCTGTCATGCAGTCTCTCAGTGTATTAATGTTCTGTGACATTTTTAGCAACAGTTATTTGATACAGTGTTCTTCAGAAATGTAATAAGAATTAGATTGCTTTGTTGTTTGGTGTATCTGCAGGATGTGTTTTGATGCAGCTGTGAAGTTTACTGCTGTAGTAATGCTTCAGATGCCACTCTTTGCAAGCACTACTGTTTCTGAGCAAATTAAGCATGTCTGTTTAGCTTCACAGTGTTGAAGTATTAAAAAAAAGGAGAGGGGGAAACAATCTCTAAATAGAGCCTGCCTCTTTTTGGCATCAAATGGAGACTTTTTAGAACACATCTGAGCTTTTTTTTGTTTTAAATTAATATTATGGCCAGTTATTTACTTTCTTGAAATAATTTATTATTTTCCTATTTTTCCTTTTGCCAGCATTCTGAGTTAAATAGATCCAGAGCATAAGCTACCAGATAACCGAAACTGTTTTAAGCACAGAATGGCTACACTATTCTTTGAGTTCATTGAATGCCCTGTCTTTATATGTGACACTTTGATTTTTCAGCTCCCAGTAGATTACAAAATCCGGGTATAATTTCTAGGTATAGTGAGCCTAGGTCAGATTGGTATGTGGTACTTTGAGAGCTGATGGAGTAGAATTGATAATCAGATCATGATTCTTTTTCTGCACAAAGTTTATCTGCTCTTATGTTAGGTTATCGTGATAATGTTAAAGGAAAAATCATCTTGATTTGAGTGAAATGGTACTCTTACAGTCCTGAGTAAAACAGTATTTTCAGCGGGGAAGCCTGTTGAACAGTTGGTCTGGATGGAAAAAAATCATGAAACACAGGATAGTTCAGTGTGAAGAAAATATTAATTGGTCTCTGTGGGAGAAATGTGCTAGCTAAACCAGGTAAATTGTGTTTTGCCTAGGCAAAAATTAAGATGTTTGTGCTGAGCGGAGGAAGAAGTCTTGGGGTTTGTAGGCCTCCTACAGTAAACCAGCTGCATCATTGGGTGTTTGGTGCTCACTGTCGTGTATTTATAGGCATACCTGCACATAAACATAGTGTGCAAATATGTTAGCTCCTGTGGATGAAAGGGTACTTTATTGTTGAACCAATCTAACAGCTGGCTGATATTTAAGTGGAAGATCATGTCCTCTGCCTGTGCCTTTTCTGGTGCTCGCTGGTCTCTGAACTGTAGTGATTCAGCTCTCTAACTTGCCAGAGAATGAGTGTAGGGAGGGAGATGTTTAGACCGTTCTTCTGATGAGATAGGTTTTGTGACTCTTGCTAGGTCATGCTGTTATGTGCGACCTCACCATAACTGTCTGGCTGAAAAAAGGAGGAGACATAACCAGATCCTTTGATTGCTGTTGCCTAGGTGCTCAGTTGATGTGCCTTTCTGCCTCTTGTCAATTCAGGGAGGAGGCAAGAGAAGGAGAAACATTTTTTTCTAAAAGCTTGCTTTTAGGTGAAGTTCCACACCCTTCCCTGTTGATTAGGAGAAGGAAATTTGAGCTAGATGCCACGTTCAGTCTGGACATTTGTCCTTAGCATCGGTATTTCATCAGCTCTGAGTCTAGGATACCTCAGTCATTTCTTTTCTTGATGAGTCAGTTTTACCTTAACCTCCCTTTGGAAGACTGTTAGGCGAGGGAGCAGCTGTACTTTGATTGAGTTTTTGGAGCTAGTAGAAAATACGCATTGCTCTGGCTGAGAACTGTGTTGGTGTGTTGTAACAGCTCCCTAAGATAACTTTTTCCTAGAGTAAAGGTTTGGATGGAATTGATTTATGGTCAGCATCTGGATGTAGATGTTGCTCATATTTGATGTTGACGTGCTCTAATATGCTCTCATATTCCTTGTTCTTAAAGGTAAAAGAACTGGAATCATAGAGGAAGCTATATTATTCTTTATCTTAACAGCAGTAGTAACTATATTCTCATTTCAGATTATTGCCTCTATTGTTCTAGTTCTAGTTCCTAGTACTAACAAAAGCTAATGATGTATTCTGGCTTCACCGATGTCATTGCATGTTTCCCTTTTCTCGGTGGAAATCTCATAACCCTCCTTGTCATATTGTTGTATCTCCACCATGTTCTCTTACAGAGTAGAGATTCATTTTTGTTTGAGTAATAATTTCAAAATGGAGCAATAAATATCTCACTATAGATTTAAAATTAAATATCCTTGAAACAAAATTGATGCTTGTTGGTTAAAAAAATCCAACTTATAAGCTTATAACTTATATTGATGGACTAGTATTTGTTATGAGTAAATTCAGGAACCTATAGAATGCTGTTATTATTTTAGAGTTATTACATTTTTGCCACTGTGTGTGTCATTATGGTGTTATAGTGTATGTCAGGTGTTATAGTTCTTATATTGTTTTAGCAATTTTGTTTGTACATCAAGTGTGTGGACATTTTAAATATGCAAATGTAGCAGGTAATAGGTCAGCAATACAACCTGAACTGCCGTTAAAGGCCAAATGTTAATTCTGAGAGATTTAGTATCGAGTGCCTTTATACACCCACTGTTTCTTTAAAAATGTAATACCAATATGTGGTACTTTTTCACTGGCTAAGTAAGGATGAAGCGAAAGGCTATAATGTATTTTGTGAAGCTTTGCTTTTGTGTGCTTAGGAATAGTTTTGTCTTTGGCAGCTGGTTATAATCTGGGCTTGCATTGTAGCTCTTCTAATGGTAAGAAATTGATAGAACTTCTGAGTCTCTTGATCCGTATGTTTATCATATGTAAACTTACTGATTCTTCTGCCTCATTGTGTAATATATATACTTTTAAACTGACATCTGGACTATTAAAATATACTTTTGTAGACTTGGGACAATCTCAACATATTAAGTTTACATGAGACAATTATATTTCCATCATTAATGCTACTTTTATAGTTAGTTCTTGACGATTAACAACTTGGCATGCATCTTGATCTGACTGCTTTAAGACCAAAGGAACTATTGTGGTCATTGAGATTAATTTTGTGTGTAACACCAGCTTCCCTTGGACTTCTCTGAATTAGGTTTGTTAACAGTGATTAAATAAGAGCATGTAATTTAGAAAATCAGTCCATTGTCTTTTAAGGATAGTCCGTAATGAGGAATCCATTGACATCATTCATGAAGCGTTTCAATAGTAGAGTATCCTTACTGACGAAAATTCAAGACCTTAAGAATCTTATTTATATCTTTAATCTAAAGGTTTAGCCTTTGGCTATTATAATTTTATGTGTCAAAATTAAGATCTCTGTTCCTCTTGGAATTCCTTAGACTATGAATAGATTTTTCTTTTACCTTGTATTAGATAAGCTAAAGGAATTGAGCTTCATGAGTTTGTCACTCTGTGTATAACCTCGAGTCTTTTAATAATTTGGGGTGTTTGTGTTTTTTTTTTTTTTTTCCCTGCATCTTTTAATGTTTTCAAAATACTCTTGAAATGTGAACAGCAGAACGGGGTGTAATATTCCAGCAGCAATCCTTCTACTAGTAGATAGAGAGGTACTGTGCTCTCCTGTAGTATTTATTTGTATACTTACCCATAGTCATCTTAGCTTTAACGCAGCAGTATACTTCTGTGCATCTCGTTATTAACACTGCCATCACCTTTTATTATGAGTTGATGATTACCTATATCACATTAGATAATGCCTCCCTTTATTCTTTGCTCCTTGATGTATAATGACTTCTTTTATCTGAGTTGAAACGTGTATAATTTGATTGCAGTCCTTTTACCAGCTGATGTAGATTGTTCTATACCACTTCCCAATCTCAGTATCAGCTACAAACTTCATCAATATTTTTTTCCTAAGTTATAATTTAAAAAATGTTACACCGTAAAGTGAAGAACTGATTTCCATGGGACTAACTAGAGAAATATCAGTTATGACTTATATTTATAGTTAAATATTGAGACCTACTGGCTTAATTGACATGGTCCTGGGCAACCTGCTCTAGGTGACCCTGCCTGAGCAGGGGGGGTTGGACTAGATGATTTCCAAAGATCCCTTCTTACCTCAAATGTTCTGTGATTCTGACATACTCATTTTCTGCCATTTTAATTTCTTAAAAACAGACTGCTGTGTGGCAGTAAGTTAGATGTCTTCCAGAAGCCTAAGTCCTAAGCTTGTAATGTCATCCTAAAAAAAACTAGTCAGTTTGACAAGAATGTAAACTTCAGTCTATATTTGTTGTGGGAACTGAAAAAGCATCATTGTTATCATGTTACATCTATATGATCTTTTTGAGTAACTGATCCTTCATTATCATCTTCAAAACTTGCTCAGATTTCCCTCTGCTTTCTGCTGTTTGTGCTAGGGGGTAGCAAAGACCCTTGAAGCCTCCTGGCCAGGTAACACTCCTGGGTTTGCTCTTCTGGCTGTGGCGTTGAGAGCAGAAAATCTCAGCAAAGCTCCCTGGGGCCCTGCCTGGCGTGGTGCCTGTGAGATGTAGCTGCCTGGCCTGGTGCGCTGAGCTAGCTGGGGCGCGGAGGTGTGCAGCACCCTGCCAGAGTGCTGCCCTGTGTAGCTCAGTTGCCTAAGGAAGGGCACTCCTGGAAAGAGAGCATGCATTTCTGAAAGAGCCACTCAAACACCAGGCAGGGAAATAATTACTTCATTAGAAGAAGAAAGCCACTACTGATTGTTAGCTTCCGGTTTTCCCATACCACTATACATTAGAACTTACACACAAAGTCATTAAGCAGTTGCAGCCTGTACCAGAAG